TGCTCCTCACGAGCACGGCGAACACGAGCCTGGAACCTGGTCGGGTAGGGGTGGGGGGAAGGAGTAGTGTCCGGGGCAGCGGCAGCCCCAGAGTCGACCTCCGAAGCACCAAGTACACCACCCCCAGAGGCAGCACCAACACCAGCTCCAGACCCAGGCTCTCTAGAAACCGAAGGGACACCCTCACCCCCAGACGCAGCACCCCCAGACTCCGCACCAGCACCCCCAGACTCCGCACGACCAGTACCAGCCCCCGGAAGACAAGAGTCCTCTGCAACCCGCGGCTCAGCTCCAACTCCAGCACCCCCAGAACCAGAGACCTGTACAGGGACAGTCGCAGGACCAACCTCCCGAGAGGGAGCACCTGCAGGAGGCGGCGAGGAAGACTGTGGGGAGGGAGGCTGTACAGGGGGGGCTACCGAAGGGGGAGGGCTAGCCTGAGACACACCAGACGGGGCTGGACCAGGGGGGGGAGGCTGTACCGGGGGAGCAGGCGGGGGAGCGGCGGTCAGGAAGAGAGGGGGGGGAGGGACCGGGAGACCTCGACTGGGGTACCTGACGTAGTAGGGGGTGGACTCCTCGAAACGGACGTCACGGGAGTCAAAGAACCGGTGAGAGGGAGGGTGGTAAAAGGTGAAGTCAGAGGAGTCCTCAGGGAAACCAAGGAAGACACAAGGAACGGCGCGAGGCGAGAGCTTGTCCGCGGAGGTGTCGCGGACAAGAGCCAAGCACCCCCAGACACGAAACCTCGACGCGACACCAGGGGACCCTGTCCAAAGACTGGTCGGTGAAGCCTCCGGCCGAGAGACGCGTGGCCAGAGGTTCAGCTGGTGCGCGGCGTACCTGACTGCGTATGGCCACAGGAAATGGGGGGCACGGGCGTGAGTCAAGGAGGTGCGGGCAATCTCCATGACCAGGCCTATGCGACGCTCAGCAACCCCATTCTGCTGTGGGGACTCCGGAAGCGTCCAGGACTGACGAATGCCCTGTTCGCGACAGAATCCAGCGAGAATGCCGGAGCGAAACTCGCCCCCGCGGTCGGAGTGGAGACAGCTGACACGACGACCACGAGTGTCCTGGGTGGTAAGCAACCACCTGATCAGCGTAGAAGTCACCTCAGACTTCCTCGCCAGGGGGAACACTGTGGTGTAGCGGGAGTAGTCGTCAACGACCACCAAAAAGAAACGCTCACGCTCAGGGCCAGGGCGAGGAGAGGGGCCCCAGACGTCCAAGTGCAGTGTCTCAAAAGGCTCGGTGGCCGGACGAAGGGAGGAGGAGTGAGGGGTGGCGCGCAGCCTACCCTCGACGCAAGGACCGCACGGTGGTGCAAGGGACGGCGGCAGCGACGGCAAGACACGCGGGAGACCTAAGACCAGACGCTGACTAGACATAGCACGCAGACGTGGAAGAGAAGGGTGTCCCATCCGGTGGTGCCACAGAACGGTGGGGTGGGCAAGCGACCGACAGGAGCAAGACGCAGCGACTGGACTGGACGCGACAACCTGAGGGGACGGAACCACCTGGTGAGACGCAGGGAGGAGACTAGGGGGAGGGACAGGAACTGGGAGGAGTGGCTGCTGCGACGGCGGCCGCTGTGGCTGCGGCTGCGGCTGCTGCTGCTGCTGCAGTCGCTGCTGAGCGCGCGGGCCAGTGTGAAGAGTGTAGAGACCGGAGCCCGGCTCAGCAGCAAAAGTGGCGAGGGGCTGGTAAGAGTCCCCGTCAACACACACCGCAGTCTCTCCAGAAGGCTCAAACCACACACCCACGTGCTGACTCACGAGGGGTCGCACGCCCACCAAGTTCCGGGAGAACGAGGGGACGTGAAACCCAGTGAGAGACCCAGAAGGAGCAGCCGGACACGGCAAGGTGGTAGTGTGACGCGCGGTGACTGGTCCCGAAGTGGGATCAGCCAGCGCCACAGAAACAGGCGCAGGAAGAGGCGTAAGTGTCGTGCTGTCACGAAAGAAGCAGTGAGAGGCTCCAGAGTCCAGCGTGAACGACAGCGAACCGTCCTCTGAGGTAGCCGCTGGACTAGAGTCTACACAAGAACCTACACTAGCAACAGGCAACTGAGCAAGGCTAGCACCTAAGCTAACAACACCAGAGTAAGCAGAGTCAGAAACACTAGAGTCAACAACAGCATACATAGCATGGGGAGTACCAATCAGATCAACTAACTGCTCAGCAGACATGCCCCACAGAGCGGAGCCGTAGCGCTGAACAAGAGGCAGCCAGTCAGGGGCAGGAGCACCAACCCCGTAGACCAAACGAACCGTGTCAGTGAGCTGAGCAAAGCACTGACCAGGGGGGTGAAACCGGCCACAAGGGTGGCCACGACGAGGGCCTGTCAGAACCTGGTAGGTGCAGGGAGTGTAAGCAGCACCACGCTGGGTCTGACGCAGCCCCGACCCTGGAGCCAGCTGCTGCCGCTGCTGCTGCTGAGGCTGCTGGGAGGAGAGGGGCTGCTGGTGCTGCAGAAGCTGCTGCTGACGCTGAGCCTGGTACCATGCCGCTGCTCCACCAACCGGGGCAGGAAGTACAGGAGGCGACTGACGAACTCGGGCGTCGCCACCACTAGCAGGCGCAGTGGAGTCACCAGTCACTGCACGAGGCGCCTCTCCAGGCCCTGAACCTCCACCGCCGCCAGGCGCAACGCCACCTCCACTACCTCCGCCTCCACCTCCACTACCACCACCAGAACCGCCTTTCTTGCCACTCCTACCGCGGGACCGCGACGCAGTCGTAACAGCAGCTGCAGTCGCGTCAGTAGCGGCAGTGGCAAGTGAGGCAGTAAAGGTGGGTAACTGCGGGACTGTGCACCCGTGGAAGAGTGGGGGGGGCACAGCACCAGAGGCAGCGGCTACCGAGCGAAGGTTGCTCTCGACGTCCTTGAGTGTAGACTCAAGGACATCGACGGTGAGCTCACTAGGGTGCTTCAGCAGAAGCGCGTCGCGAACGGAGGCAAGGCGGTCAGGGAGGCTAGTGGCGATGAAATAGATAGTAATCGCCATAGGGGGAGGAAGCAGTGCAAGCTGTGCCTCAGTGCAAGCAGCGCGGTAACTAGCGTCGAGCGAGCGGAGGTGAGCGATCAAGTCAGCAGAGCGCTCAAAAGACGCTAGGTCAGGAAACAGGAACGGGAGGAACAGGCGGCCAAGAGAGACAGCAGCGGGAGAAGAGTAGCGGGCCTTAATCGCAGTGAGGTACTCAGCAGCGGTGCGAACCTGAGTGAAGTGAACCTCCTCAGACTCAGGGAGGAGGCTGCTGAGCGCGATGCAGGCCGCAGCGTCACGTGACGTCCAAGCCGTCTGGTCAGCTCGCTGAGTGGCAAAGCGGGCTCTAGCGGCGTCGTCAGGGGCAGGTCCTAAAGGCGTAGGGTCGGAGGGCGCAGGTAGGGCACCAGTAGCGTGCGCCCAGAGGGTCTCGCCTGCCTGGACCTGACTCTCTAACAGACGGCGAGCACGAAGAAGCCAGACGGAAAAATCAAGAGGTCTACCGTCAGCGTCGAAACGAAGCACACGCGGAGTCGCCATAGCGAGAACTAACGCTAGGGATACAGTGGCAGCGGAAGAGCAGGCTAGGGTTAAGACGACGGGCTGGGGAAAGGGCGGGCCGCTACAGGGGAAAGGGCGGGCCGCTACAGGGGAAAGGGCGGGCCGCTACAGGAGGGGAAGGGGCGGGCCGTGACGGAGGTAAAGGACGGGCGGGACGCGACGGGGGGAAAGGGACCCAACGGGGGGGAAAGGACGGGCGGGACGCGACGGGGGGGAAAGGGGCACGACGAGGGGAAAGGACGGGCGGGACGCGACGGGGGGAAAGGGACGCGACGAGGGGGGAAGGGCGGGGAGGACGCGATGGGGGGGAAAGGGACGCGACCGGGGGGGAAAGGGCGGGCAGGACGCGACGGGGGGAAAGGGACGCGACGAGGGGGAAAGGACGGGCAAGACGCGACGGGGGGAAAAGGCGCGACGCGACGGGGGGAATGGGCGGCGACGCGACGGGGGGAACGGGCGCGACACGACGTGGGGGGGGAACGCGACGCGACGGGGGGTAAGGGCGGGCGCTACGGAACGAGGGGAACGGGTGGCGCGGACGGGCGCTAGGATTGGCGCTAGGCTCGGCACTACGCGCGGTAACAACGGAACCGGGACGAATGAGAGCTAGGATCAGGCTCGGGAGGCTCGAACGGAGAACGGAGGAACGGGATCCCACAGGATCCTAACCTAACTGATACCATGTCAGAATGAAGAATGGATGATGCATTGTTGTTGGTTGGGGTACATATAGCTAACCCTAAGTTTTGTACCCCCTAAGACAAACCTCACTATAGGCTACAACATTTGACATGTAGCGTATCCAGAAATGCCGGAGTCGTCCCAGCATTGGTTTCTGTGTGGAAGACTGGTTCGTGGGAGTTTATACAGTAGTATGTGAGAAATTGTTTATCTTAAAAGTTTCCCGTTTATAAGATTTATAAGATACCCATTACCTTCCTTTTACAAGATAAATCGCCAGTTTTTGAACCGATATCGGATAAGACCCATATGTCTTATATCCGGGCGATGACGGTATTCGTGGGAATGTGAAGTCCACATTAGAACTTATATATGTATATATACATACATACATACGTTTCTGCAAGGATGGTTCAAAAGGGTAATTCCCATTCATGTGAGAGCTCTAAACTTAAATACACTTGGCAAAAATAAATGGACAGTTCTGGCCATAAAATCTATTTTGGACGTTCTGACTATGACACAAACGAGTCACACTAATGGCGGTTATTCACACCCTTCGCTGCGCCCATGGGCAAACCTCACCGGACTGGAATCCGGGGTCTAGGCGCCTAGATCACACTGGTCAGGCCAGGCTGGACTAGTTAGGTATCCGGCGAACGCGGTCTGTTCGTGTTCGCCTTCGCTCGTTACACGTCCGTCGCTTTGAATCTGAGCGCTTGTCGTTGCTGTACTTGATTCGCAACCTACTGAGCGTCAGTGATCAGAATGTATCCGTCAGGATCGGCCGGGTCGTTAGCGGTCGCCGTCACGACTGCCGGCGCGGCAGCGGCAGCCGTGATCGCGTGCCGTCTACTTCTCTCCCCCGCATCAGCCGCAGCCGCAGAAGCAGCAGAAACGACATTAAAGCCCAACACAGATTCAGGCACCGAGAACGCGGTATCGAGAATACCGGACTCGTCAGATACCTCTTTAAATGCCGCGCTGAAATGGGTGGCATCCGCGGCGCGCGGGATTAAAGATCATGCGGAGCGGCTCGTAGGACGCGTTAAAGCCGAAGGTGATGCTTCCGATTCGGGATATTTAGATTCGATAGTATCTTATTTACCCCATGGGTACAGTCTAGCTGGAAAAGCAGCCACCACTGCCGCGATTGCCGCTGCAGCGGTGGTTGCGGTGGGCGGGACGGCGCTCGCGATCCGGGCCGCGGTAGGCGCGTCACGAAGGAAACGGCGGCGCCGCGTGATCGGAATCATCCCCGCACGATTCGCGTCGTCGCGGTTCGTGGGGAAACCGCTAGCGCTGATTGCGGGGCGACCGATGATCCAGGTACAGCGATTCCATGAGAAGGAGATGGGGAGAGTAGGTGAGGGGCAGAGGGGGAGAGGGGGAGAGGGGAGATGGCGAGTGGGGGAGATGGCGAGTGGGGGAGAGGGGGAGAGGGGGAGAGGGGGAGATGGGGAGACGGGGAGAGGGGGAGAGGGGGAGGGGAGATGGGGAGACGGCGAGAGGGGGAGAGGGGGAGATTGGGAGTGGGGGAGAGGTGGATAGGGTCGGAAAGGGTAAAGGGACATTAGGGAAAGAAAGGGAGATGGAGCGGCAGGGAGAGAGGGCGAGCCGCGAGGGGAGAGGGGAGAGGGGTGAGGGAGAGGGGAGAGGGGTGAGGGGTGAGGGGTGAGGGGTGAGGGGTGAGGGTGAGGGGTGAGGGGTGAGGGTGAGGGGTGAGGGGTGAGGGGTGAGGGGTGAGGGGTGAGTGAAGAGAGGAGCGGTGTGAGTGGGTCCTCCCATTACTACCAACCATTTCTTTCCTCGCCTTGTTGTTACTCTACTTAAACCCTCACCCCCTTTCCTCCCCTTAGCCCCCAGCCCCCATTGCCCCCCTCACCTGTCATCACACACACACACACACACACACACCCTCCTTCCTGTCCTTGTGTTTCTTTCCCTTTCTCCTCTCTTCCACCCTTCCCGCTTCACCCTTCCTTTTTCCCATTAACATAACAGAGAATCCCGCTGTTAGTCCCACCCCTCATCTCCCCCCCCCCCTCCCCCCTCTCCCCGTTTCCCCCATTGCTCCTGCCCACAGCACACATGGGAGCGTGCAAAGCTCGCTCAAACACTCGATCGAGTGGGTAAGTGGGAGAGAGGGTGGAAGGAAGGGTGGGAGGGAAGGGAGACGGCTGTAGGGGGATAATGGGGAAGGAGGGAAAGTGGGAAGGCGGGAAAAGGGGGAGAGAGGGGGAGGGTGAGAAAGGGGGAGAGGGGGGGAGGGGAGAAAGGGGAATAGTGGGAGAAGGAGAAGAGAGGGGAAAAGCGGGGGGGGGGGGGGGGGGGGGGGGAGGGGGGGAGAGAGGGAAATAGAGGATTTTTAGGTCGATTCAGAAGTCGTATCTGCCTGCTCTCCCCCCTCTCCCCTCCCACTGCAGTGGTCGCAACGGATGATGAGAGGATTGTTAGCCGCTTTTGAGTCGACTCAATAGTCCCCTCCCCTCGCTCCCCTCGCTGCTCCCCTCCTCCCCCCTCTCACCTCCGCTTGCAGTGGTTGCAACGGATGATGAGAGGATTGCCAGCTGCTGCCAGGGGTTCGGCGCTGAGGTCATCATGACGTCAGCAGCTTGCGGCAATGGTAAGGCTGAGCATGGGAGCATGAATGTTCTTTTTCTGAGTGCTCCTGCATGGAAATGCAAGACACATGAGCGTCAAAGTAAGATGTGCTCGTTACAATCACACGAATGCGCTTACACCCAGACACTCCCACTCTTCCGAACCAACATGGCAGGTTCGGAGCGGTGTGCCGAGGCAGTGGAGAGGCTCAAGGGGCAGTGGGACGTGGTGTTGAACATTCAGGGCGACGAGCCTCTCATCGACCCGGCCACGATTGATGCAGTGGTTATAGCATTGCAGGTGATTCCAGTGTGAATTTAGCTGCTGTGCTGGAAGGTCACGGGGCAGTGGGACGTGGTGGTGAACATTGAGGGCGACGAGCCTCTCATCGACCCAGCTATGATTGACGCTGTTGTCATTGCGCTACAGGTAATTGCACTGCAGCGGGGCATGGCCGTTTTAGTCCTACAGGGGGGCAATGGGGTAATCAGGCAGTGGGGCAGTGGGGCAGTGCAGAGGCTCAAGGGGCAGTGGGAAGTGGTGGTGAACATTCAAGGCGACGAGTGGCAGTCATAAAAGCATCAGTGACACGTTTTGAGACATCGCAGAACTGGATCCTAACCGAGTCAACTGTGGTGTCGACAGCCGGGGCAGATATGAGACCACCCAAACCACCATCACACATCCAAGCCCATCACCGCTACCTGTTCACTTGGATACCCTTGACACCCAAACCACCACCACAGGAAGCACCCGAGGCAGTGGCAGCGACAGCAGTGGCGGACATAAAAGCATCAGCGGCGCCGGATCCGAACCGAGTCAAGTGTGTGGTGGACAGCCGGGGCTTTGCTCTCTACTTCTCACGGGCGCTCATTCCCCACAACAGGTGAGCTGTCAACAGCATGTCAACAACAGGTGAGTGGTGGTGAGGAGCAGGGATGTAGAGCCCTCACGGCACTTGCACGTTGCGAGCATGGTCAAAGAAGGCTTTGCTCTCTACTTCTCACGGGCGCTCATTCCCCATAACAGGTCAGTTGATTTTCAAAAGAACTGCCTCCAATCGTGGCATGCTTTTGAACATGTGCAAAAGGGCATCCAATGCCCGTATATCTCTGTCACACCTCATTGATTGTCCGCAAGTGGATCATCTGTTGTGTGAATCCCTTTCTCAACGCCTCGATTGGTACAACTGCAGGGATGGAGTGCCTCATCCCGGCTTCCCTTACATGCTGCACCTAGGCCTACAGGTATTGTACTTACCGTCTCCTCTCTTGCTGTCTCTGCTTCCTTTACCCCTCGCTCCCACTCTCTCTCTCTCTTCCCCCTCTCTCCTCTCTCCTCAATCTCTCTCTCTCTCTCTCTCTCTCTCTCTCTCTCTCTCTCTCTCTCTCTCTCTCTCTCTCTCTCTCTCTCTCTCTCTCTCTCTCTCTCTCTCTCTCTCTCTCTCTCTCCTTACATGTTTGCAGGTAGGCTGACTGGTAGTCCTCTTGTCCCCCGCACCTCTCTTCACCCTCTTCTTCTACCTGCAGCCTCCTCGTCCCAACCACCCTCAGGCACTTAGTTCTCCAAAACCCACGAATACCTGACGCTGTAAAGCCCTTGTTCCTCCCGCCACTCCTCGTTCCTGAATCCCACACCCCCATCCCCTCGTTCCTGAATCCCACACCCCCATCCCCTCGTTCCTGAATCCCACACCCCCATCCCCTCGTTCCTGAATCCCACACCCCCATCCCCTCGTTCCTGAATCCCACACCCCCATCCCCTCGTTCCTGAATCCCACACCCCCATCCCCTCGTTCCTGAATCCCACACCCCCATCCCCTCGTTTCTGAATCCCACACCCCCATCCCCTCGTTCCTGAATCCCACACCCCCATCCCCTCGTTCCTGAATCCCACACCCCCATCCCCTCGTTCCTGAATCCCACACCCCCATCCCCTCGTTCCTGAATCCCACACCCCCATCCCCTCGTTCCTGAATCCCACACCCCCATCCCCTCGTTCCTGAATCCCACACCCCCATCCCCTCGTTCCTGAATCCCACACCCCCATCCCCTCGTTCCTGAATCCCACACCCCCATCCCCTCGTTCCTGAATCCCACACCCCCATCCCCTCGTTCCTGAATCCCACACCCCCATCCCCTCGTTCCTGAATCCCACACCCCCATCCCCTCGTTCCTGAATCCCACACCCCCATCCCCTCGTTCCTGAATCCCACACCCCCATCCCCTCGTTCCTGAATCCCACACCCCCATCCCCTCGTTCCTGAACCCCACACCCCCATCCCCTCGTTCCTGAATCCCACACCCCCATCCCCTCGTTCCTGAATCCCACACCCCCATCCCCTCGTTCCTGAATCCCACACCCCCATCCCCTCGTTCCTGAATCCCACACCCCCATCCCCTCGTTCCTGAACCCCACACCCCCATCCCCTCGTTCCTGAATCCCACACCCCCATCCCCTCGTTCCTGAATCCCACACCCCCATCCCCTCGTTCCTGAATCCCACACCCCCATCCCCTCGTTCCTGAATCCCACACCCCCATCCCCTCGTTCCTGAATCCCCCCTGTGTCTGCATGCTACTGTGCAGCCTTACAATGCGGCCTTTCTAGCAAATTACAGGGCGTTTGGAGACACAGGACGAGAGGATCTCATTAATCATCCTCTCGTCTCCCCTGTCTGCATGCATGCGTGCAGGCATACGATGCGGCCTTTCTAGTGCGGTACAGGGCCAGTGAGCCGGGGAGACTGGAGGAGGAGGAGCAGCTGGAGCAGCTGCGGATACTGGAGCAGGGATACAAGGTCAAGGTGGGTGACGTCTGGTGGGATTGATGTGGGGTGATTATGTACACCACGGCAGCTGGAGCATTAACAGGCAGGTTTATGTGTGCAACTTTTGAGACGTATCAAAAGTTGGAGCATCAAAAGGCAGGTGTATGTGTGCAGGTGGTGAAGGTGGCAGAATAGGCTATGCAGTTGACTTGCCTCGATGTGCCTGAGAATCCAATGTCCATCCCTTGCGTCTGCTGTGCTTACATACCCCTGCGTGCCCGTGTGGGTGTGCCGGTGGTGAAGGTGCGCATTCAGCTCACGGGGTGGACGTGCCTGCTGATGCGGATTGCAAATTCCTACCTTCTGCGTGCCTCTGTGCCTCTCTGCCTCTCTGCCTCTGTGCCTCTCTGCCTCTCTGCCTCTGGACGTGCCTTGACGTGCCTAAGCACCCAGTGTCCATCCCTTGCGTCTCCTGTGCTTGCATGCCCCTGCGTGCTTGTGTGACTGTGCAGATGGTGAAGGTGGCGCATTCAGCGTACGGGGTGGACGTGCCTGCTGATGTACCACCGCACCAGTGGCCATCCCCATCCCTCACTTCTCCTCCTGTGCTGGCATGCCCGTGTGTCTGTGCAGGTGGTGAAGGTGGCGCATTCAGCGCACGGGGTAGACGTGCCGGCAGACGTCAAGAGGATTGAAGACCTGCTGCTGAGAGGAGGGCGATGAGAGGAGGGCAATGAACGGAGGGTGATGATGCACACAGCGGTCACCCTTTCTGCCAGATAACTTGCCTAGTTGCTGGACATAAGCTGGCCTTGCCTTCCATCAACTCTTAGGGTACATTCCTGTGTGGACACAAATGTCTCAATCCCCCTTTTCCCGAGTCGCGTCGTAACATTTTGTCAACCTCGCGTCACAAAAAAGGAAGGTACCGTATTGCGACACTAGGCGACCAGGCGAAATGTACAGTTGTGCGCTTTTGATTGGGTTTCGGAATTGACTGTACACCCGTTTCTTCAAACGCCTGGCTGGGGTGTGGTTTCGACGCGCGGGTTTTTTTCCCGCACGAAATTGGCATTGGGGGGTGTTTAGGTGCATTGACATTTCGAACCGCGTGCGACATTTTTCCAGTGACGGGTCGATTTGCAACTCGTCCGCGACGTTAGCGCGTTTTGTTAGAATCTAGAGACAAGGATGATGCATTGATCAAGAGTTGGGTACATAAGCTAACATTGGGTTGTACCCCATATGGGCTACCCCACTAGCAGCCTACACAAACACAATATGCATAGTTTGACACACCCCCATAGGCAAAGTGGGGGAGAACAAAGGGTCACAAGACCAGTCAAGAGAAACAAAACAAGCTCAGGGTGGATCACAACGTCACCACACACACTGAGCACAAGCAAAGGGCCACAAGGCCTGTCCACATGCAGAGGTATATATGCAACAAACAAAGTACAGTGATCACTACCTAGCAAAAGCAAGCATGCAGGTATATATATATATAAAGATCACAGTACAGGCAGAGTCTACAGCAAGTGTGGAAACGTAGGCACAAGGCCCAACAAGGTACAAAAGCGCTGATGATCACCAGACGGAAGTGCCTTGGTGAATATATCAGCAGTGTTGGCCCGAGTGGCCACGTGTGCAAGACGAAGCTGACCACGCTGCTGCAACTCTCGAGCCAGGAAGTAACGCAGAGCGATGTGCTTCGTTCTGTGCTCCAGTCTGTGCTCCTCACACAAGGCAATGGCTGCCTTGTTGTCAACGTACAGAACTGGAGGAGAACGAGGCCGCTCTCCCAGGTCGGTCAGCAGGTACGTGAGCCAGCGCAGCTCCTGAGCAGCCATGGCGGTGGCGTAGATCTCAGCCTCACAACTGGAGCTGAGAACAGAAGACGAGCGAGTAGAACGCCACGAAACAGAGCCAGAGCCGAGGCTGAAAGTGTAACCCTGTGACGACCGCTGTGTAGCCTGGTCGTCAACCCAAGACGCGTCTGAGTGCCCAGTGAGGACCACCTCTCGCCGTCCTCCAAGCACGAGCCCCATGCCCGATGTACTGCACAAGTAGCGCAGTACCCTCTTCGCAGCATCCCAGTGCACCTTTCGGTGCCGACCAGGAGCCACGTAGCGGGCCAAAAGGCCAAGAGGGTACGCAAGGTCAGGACGAGTGCAAGTCATCAGGTACATGAGGCAGCCTACTAGCTCTGGGTAAGGACCACTCGGCTCTACGGACTCGTCCGAAGGTGGAGCTGAGAGCGAGTGACCTGTAGCCAGAGGAGTGGACTGTGCCGAGGACCAGGTGAAGCCGAAGCGCTGAAGGACCTGCTGCACCATGTGTGACTGAGTCAGAGTGATGGTGCGACGTGCTCTGTCCCGGGTGATCTGCAAGCCAAGGGCGCAGCTCACCCAGATCTGTGCACGTGTGTCTCTTCTGCAGCTCCGACTTCACCAGGGCGAGAGCCTCAGTGTCAGCAGTAGCAAAGACCAAGTCGTCGACGTACACGAGGATGTAGAACGGCGGCAGCGAAGTGTCGGTGCGCAGAAACAGTGACGGGTCAGCTGTGGAGGGCGCAAACCCGAGAGCCGCAAGCGTAGTCCTCAGTGTGTCGTGCCACTCACGAGGCGCCTGACGGAGACCGTAGACTGGCCGGCGGAGGCTCCACTGGGTACCAGGAGGGAACGACCCAGTGAAGCCAGGTGGGCGGCGCAGCCAGATCTCCTCGTGCAGGCTGCCCTGCAAGAAAGCTGTGCTGAAGTCAAGCGAGTGAAGCTCGTAGTCACGCTGGGCGGCAACGTGCAGCAGTACCCGAAGAGTGGTCATCTTCGGGGTGGGGGAGAAGGTCTGGAAGAAGTCAACCCCCTCTCGCTGACTGAAGCCTCGAGCAACGTAACGTGCCTTGAAGACAGGCGGAGAACCAGGCGGCCGCTTCACCCTAAAAATCCACATGCCACTGACGATGTTTGCCCCAGGAGGGGGAACGTCGTCGACGTAGGTGCCTGTGGACTTCCAGGATGCCATCTCGGCGTCCATGGCTGCCTGCCACTGAGAGGAGTAGGGACCCGCGACCGCCTCAGCGTACGAGCGCGGGGTGGGGATGTCTAGTGCATCCGGGTCTCCCTCAGGGGCAAGCAGCATGGTCACGAGATGAGGCGCAGCGGCTGCAAGACACTCAAGGTCCTCCTGCCTGTCTTCAAGGACGTCCGTGCTAAGAGCACACTCACCCCCGACGGACGGAGGACAGACAGACTCAGACTCAGCGACAAGACTAGTAGCGTAGTCTAGACGACAGGCAGCCGCAAAGTCAACAAGCTCAGCAACCAAAGCAGTCGCAGCAGCAGACTCAAACGAGGGGTCAGTGACAACAGTGGCGAGCAGACGCGTGACAGTAGGGTGCTCAGCACGAAACCGGTCAGACTCAGGGTCCGGAACGTGAGGCAAGGAAGACGCAGGAGGAGACGGCAGAGAAACAGACTGCGGAACAGAGGAAGGACGACGGACGACAAGGTGTGCGGTGGGGACAGGCGGCGAACGCGGACACGGAACACGACGACCGGTACGACTAGGACGAACAGGCGAGACAGGACGCGACGCAGGCTCACGACGCTCAGCAAGACTACCCGTCTGCTCAGTGTAAGGAGAAGGAGCAGGCAGCGGTGAGCCAGGCCCTAACGGAAGACCAGTAGACGACGGGAGAGTAAGAACCTGACGAAGAGCAGAGTCAGGCGGCGGCAGAGACGACGGAGACGGCGGAGCGAAGAACAGGCGTGGCGGCGCAGCTGCACCAGAACCGGCAGCTCCAGCAGCTCCAGTACCCCCAGCAGCTCCAGCACCTCCAGCAGCAGAACCGACACCTCCAGGCCCAGGGTCTCCAACCCCAGTGCCTCCAGCAGCAGCACCCCCAGAACCAGTACCTCCAGTCCCAGGGTCTCCAGCCTCCACGTCTCCAGCAGCAGCACCCCCAGAACCAGCACCTCCAGTCCCAGGGTCTCCAGCCCCCACGTCTCTAGCAGTAGCACCCCCAGAACCAGCACCTCCAGTCCCAGGGTCTCCAGCCTCGGTGTCTCCAGAAGCAGCACCTCCAGACGCAGCACCTCCAGACGCAGCACCCCCAGCGCCAGGGACGGCAGCAGAAGTACCTCCAGCAGTAGAGCCCCGGGCTCCAGCAGCGCGACCCTGACGGCGACCGTACCAGTCGTGCAGCTGCTGCGAGGTGAGAGGCACACGTGGACGAAGGCGGCTACTCCAAGGAGACCGCGCAACAGCAGACTCTGAACCCTCAGCGCCAGCACCCTCAGCAGCTCCAGCGCCACCAGCACCAGGACCTCCAGCAGCTCCAGAACCTCCAGCGCTAGCACCCTCAGCAGCCCCAGAACCACCAGCTCCAGCACCTCCAGACCCCTCACACGCAGGCTCAGCACCTCCAGGCTCGACACCCTCAAGCTCCGCACCCCCAGGCTCCTCACCCCCAGGCTCAGCACCCCCAGACTCAGCACCCCCAGAAGTAGCACCCCGAGCAGGACCACCCCCAGCAGGACCTGAGTCACCAGTGACCTCAACCAGCGCAGGGAAGGGAGGAGGGTCTACCTGAGACACACCTGAGGGAGCAGGACCTGGAGCGGGGAGAGGGTCGACCTGGGGAGCACCTGGAGCGAGGAAGAGCGGCGGGGGAGGGAGAGGGGCAGTGCGGTAGGGGAAGAGACGGTAAAAGGGAACCGACTCATCGAACGTGACGTCCTGAGACGCAAAGACACGGCGCGAGGTGGGGTGGTAAAACTGCCAACCAGGCGCGTCAGGGACAAAGCCAAGGAAGACACAGGGAACTGCACGGGCGGAGAGCTTGTCCGCGGTGGTATCGCGGACAAAGGCACGAGCACCCCAGACCCGGAAACGCGACGCATCGCCAACCTTCCCCGTCCACAGCAGTGTGGGCGAGGTCTCCGGCAAGGAGACACGGGGCCAGAGGTTGAGCTGATGCGTGGCGTACCGGACCGCAAACGGCCACAGAAAATGGGGGGCAGCCGCATGGATCATGGAGGTACGAGCGACCTCCATGACTAAGCCAATGCGGCGCTCAGCAACCCCATTCTGCTGCGGAGAGTCCGGAAGCGTGAACGACTGGGTGATGCCGTGCTCCGCACAGAAGGCCGCCAAGAGGTCGGAGGAGAACTCACCACCTCTGTCAGAGTGCAGACGCAGGACGGGAAACTCCGTCCCGAACCGCTCGCGGAGCTGGAGACGGGCAGCGCGGATCCAAGGGATCAAAACAGCAGGGACCTCCCCCTTGCTGCGCAGGGGAAAGACCGTGGTGTAACGCGTGTAGTCGTCAACAACCAGCAGGAAGTACCGCTCGTGGCCCTGTCCACGGACGCGGGCTGGGCCCCACACGTCCAGGTGGAGAGTCTGCAGGGGAGCCTCTGTGGGAGGGAACGAGGAGGAGTGAGGAGCGGCGCGCTGCCGCCCCTCGACGCAAGGAATGCAGGGCGGCGCAAGCGAGGGAGGCAGGGCAGGCAAAGACCTGGGCAGACCAGAAACCAGGAAGCGAGAGTGCATGCCACGAAGGCGCTGCACCGAGGGGTGACCAAGGCGGTGGTGCCACAGGAGGGTCTGGTGCGACAAAGCGCGACACTCGCAGGGGGCCGTCGGCTGACCGGACGCAGACGCAGACGCAGACGCAGCTACCTGAGCGGACGCAGTGGTCAGGGTGTACAGACTCGAGCCAG